TGGGGATGTCTTGGTTGGAAGTCTCCGGCGCGGCTGTACTCTTTTTTCTTGATGGGTATCATACAACAGGCCAGGGGCGCTGCCATATTCGAGGCCACTCGAAATCGATGAGCCATCCACGTGGAAATAGTGTTTTTTGAAGGTTCTCATGTCTTCCCGCTTCTGGATCTCAAGGATGGTGTCGTCATCAGGTTTCATTGATGATGATGAGGGGTTATGAAGCAATAGAGCCGCGCTTGTATGGCGCGTAGAGCCATGTACATGTACATGTGATCCGCGAAATTCCGGGTTGTATCGCCTCAGCCCTGTCAATCTGAACATGATGCCACGAGCGTAGTTCATAGCTTTCCATACCTTAGCAGTCAAGGGCCAGGCCCATGTGACTAACTACTTAAGAAGCAACAGGCATCTGCGCTCAACAAAACATACAATAACACTGAGGACTGTGCAGCTTGTCTAGAAAGTGTTTCGTGTTGCCCCGCTCTTGCAGCCGGAAATAGTCGGTCTCGTTGTCCGGGCGGTAGGGAATACGTCTTGGATGACAATGGTTGCGAGTTTGCCAAAGCTGGGTGCTCTTTGTATTTTTCAAGACATTCTTTCAGCTCGTGCTTCAGGCCATCTTGTTGCACAGCGCGAAGGGTCTTGACAGCGTCTTCACTCAGGCGAGCCGCCACAACCTGCGCCCCCAATTTCCCACTGCCTCTTCTTTTGGGCTCATCGTTCTTTTTCTCGTACAAGAGGTGAGGCATGTCGTCATGCAGGCCACCTTCTAGAACAATGCTATCCTTTCGTAATTTCAGCGTCTCGCTGACCCGCCTTGAGCTCACCATGGTAAGCCAGATTGCAAAAGCGTAGATGGGACCCCCGCAGTACAGCAACACTGCAAACCATGTGTGTATTTCATCTCGATGAACATAAAGGTGTTGTCGGTCGGTTTTTTGCAACCGACGGCCTTTGTTCCAAGGCACTCTCTGGATTTTCTTCTTAGGAGCCATCGCGAGTACACGTGAATCAGCCTGCGTTGCCTTGAGCCAGACAACATTCAATCTGAGTCGCTGCGCCAAAGGCTGTTTTTGATCAATTCGATAATCGACTTGCTTAGCTTCCCGCTTGGTTGTTGTTCCGGATGGCGCACAGCGACGCTGCCTTGGCTTTGAACACCTCTCACCTGCAGCGCGCGGAGGCTGCTCTCAAAGGGATTGAGGACTATTTCCCAGGCCTTGCTGCTGCCGGGCCCAAGTCGGATGGCCAGGGTTTAGCTCCCTTTGACGGTTCGAAATTCAACGAAGTCGTTGACAAAAGTGGGCCAGTCACTGATCTCAAGACAACTTTCAAAAAGTTTGGCCCCTGTGCTGGGAATGTCTTGTGGGTCAACATGCTGAGGCCTGTAGTCACAGGTGTGCCCATCAACGTGGCCAACGTACGAAAGTTGATTGTCGAGCAGTTTGATAGCCCTTCTTCCGCGCTAGCAGATCAAACAGAAATCAAGGTGGGTGTCCTTGAGGCAGACAGGTCTGCTTTCCCGGGCGACAACTCCAGATTGAAGTTGCTATCGGCAGAAGAAGTCTTACACGCGCTTGTCCTTCGCATTCATGAGCGCATTGATGAGGGACCGCTTGCTGAGGTAGAACAGTGGAAGGATGTGTTGCTCTCCTGGCTGATGTCATTTGAGCTGCACGCCACAGAAGATGCAATGTATTGGAGAAGCATCAATGTGAGGGAGGCCATTGGGACACAGTATGACATCTTGTACAGGTCTTCGATTCAGCGCTGCTTCGAACTCATCTCTTGGAAGAACGTCCAGGAGTCAAAGAGGGCGGGCGACAAGAAAACGAAGGCAGGGAGAATGGACGCCAAGGCCTTGTTTGCAGCTTGGAACGAGCATGTCAAATTTGCGACGCTGGCCAGGGATGACGGGACTGACCGGGGCAATGACCGGGCCTTCAAGCAGTCCTTCGTAGACGCCAGCCTTACAACATACAACCGATTGCTCGTTTGGGATGATTGCCGTGGGCTAGTGTTGGACGCAGAGGACTTCATGAGCTGTTGTGTCGTCAAAACCTTTTAAAGCCGACTGACGTAATATTGTTCTTCAAAATCTAATTGTCAGCGAGCGCTGTTGTCTCAGAAAGAACATGACAGAACATTCATCAATTTGATTCATCAATTTGATTCCCAGGAGAGATGGGGCAAGAACACAATTTGGCAATCCATCTATCAGCTGGAGGCCTTGGTCAAGAAAATCGGTTCTTCCAATGATGCCCAAGAGAAGACCTTCTTTGTCCTGTCCGCTTGCCACCACTTCTTTTCCATGAGCAATAGCAGTGTGGCAGGGGTAGGATTGCCTCACACAGCCTTCTCGACTAGGAACTTGTCAGGGAAGGGACTTAGTGGCTCGAAAGGCACAGTTGACCTGATGTTGCTGAAGCACCAAGCTTTGAAGAAATTCTTGGGGGCGTGGCTCGAGGAGTCCAATCTTCCGGATGCAGAGAAAACCCAAATCGTGACAGCTATGAAGTCCTTTGCTGCTTACCATGAATACTTCAAACCCGGAGAGCAGGATGTCGATTTGACTTGGATGAGCTGTTTGCCAGAGCCGGCCCGGCAATACATGAAGCTGATCGAGGCTGTAGTGTACAAGACAGACAAGGATGGCAAGTTGAAGAGCATTCTTCTTGCAGGCGGCACTGCTTCAGACTTTCCAGATCGCGACGAGTTCAAGTCAGAGTTTGAGAACATTCGAAAAGGTTGGGCAACACTTTCCGGCGAGGGGCCACAGAGCAGCCAGGATCGAGAGCCTGCTGATGTGGACATGGCTGACCATGAAATCGATATGGGCACGCTGGCCCGCGAGCCGCACTTTCATGCCTTGCCTATCGAGGCTGATTCTGACTTCCAGGCGAAGCAGTTCTCTGCGCAAGAGGCTTTGCAAAAGACATTGAACTCTTTGACAGAGGAGGAGCAGGTGATCGTGAAAAAGTTTGAGGTTGAAGCCATGCGTCAGGTCCGCTCCAGTGTGAGCCTCATGGTGGAAAGTGATCAGCGCAAGGCGATGATCGATGAGTTGTCTGCATTGCTGGGTGGGTCTGTGGGTTCCAAGAACATTATGCTCCTTTACGACAACAAGACCGCTGGTGAACCTATCACAAACCCACACATCAGAATGCCTTCTTTCCGAGCTGATAGGTTGAAGACAGCTGTTGCTGTTGTCTTGGGGGCGCTCGATGCTGACATTTTGCCAAGAAACCTGGCTGTGGCTGTGACGGATGCTGGCGCATTGGGCAACAAGAGTGCACCTTGGTCGGCCTAAGTGAGATATAGACACTTGTTGTCGTATACAATACATTGCCACATTCTTGTGAAATTTCCTCACCAATTTCTGTCAACCCCTGTATTGATTTTGTAGAGAAAGCTTTGGTTTTCTATATGTTTCTATAGAATCACTGTCCTGAGTGTTCCTGATTTGTAGAGTGATCAGGGTTGTTTTTGAGCATGACGGGTCCATTTAATAGAAGCATCTTTCTTGAAGGGCATCATCTTATAGAGAGCGCACATTTCTGATGAATTTCAGTGAGCCCACTCAGGCCAACCCCCTACTCAATATTATAGACTTAAGGTTTCTACCTTGGGGGGCTTGATTTTAATTGATGGATTGGTTGCTTTGGACCTGGGGTGAGGCAGTTGTAGATACAAAATTCCCCTCCGGGGTTGTCGTGTGAATTTTACAGGGGATGCTTCAATGTGATCGGGCATCGTCGCAGCAACTCTCGCGTGAAACTTGAGACGGGCTGCCAAGGCCATCAATGCTTGCATCTGCTTGGGAGATGCCCACCTCAGCTCGAACTGTAAGACTCTCTACATTGCCTGGTCTGAAGAAGACATGGAGAAGAGATTGCAGAAATTCAAGATCCTTGGTTCCTTATGGGTAACTTTTTTGTCGTTGATGTCCTGCAAACTGTGAAATGTGAACTTGAAGCTGTGTCAAACTACAGCAGTCCTGAGGTCCCAGAGACAGCTTCAGCAGTTGGAGTCTTGCTACATCTTCACCAACACAGAGGCTGCAATGAAGCGGAGGGCGCGTGTGTGTGAGATCTTCAAGAAAGCGACGTCTGCAGGGAACGTGTTGAGCGACGTTCCCTTGCCGAACTTGCACGTTGGTTGGTGCATGCAGCTGAGCAAGAAAAAAGACTTGTACGGAGATATGAGAATGCCCGTTGGCGGGCCGTGTGATGGAGGCACCAATGAGAAGCTCACCAAGAAGAGAGAGGATTCGACGACGGAGCCGGTGTCATGGCATCAAATGCCAGAGGAAGTTCTCCAGGAACTCTTCTTCTCAGAAACGAGCTCCAACATCATCATTGACTTCTGCCCAATGGACGTGGCCCCATATCTGTGCATGAAGAAGGGTCTGAAGTACATCGGCTGCTGCTTTACTGATTTTCACCGTCAGAAGCTCTACTCCCGCTTGGCCTCATTGGTTTTTCGGGACATGAGAGTGGAGGGCAGCAGTTGGTACCGTGCCGAGCTTGCTCAGGTGTTGAAGGTTCCAGCGCAAGGGACAGCTGTGGCAGTGCCCAAGAAGCAGCCACAGCCAAAGCCCAAGGCTGATGCCAAGGCAAAGGTCAAGGCAGATGATGCTTCCCGCAAGCGCAAAGGTGAGGACAAGGAGGATGCTGAGAAGGAAGGTGGCGAAGAAGCGGAGCCATCGTCTAGCAAGAAGCCGAAGCAGCCCCAGACTGCATCTGAGCGGTCAGAAGCGTTGCGGCTGAAGATCGCTGAGCTTCGCAAGAAGGCTGACGCTGGAAAGTGAGCAATAGCAGGTGTAAGCTTGAATGCGGCGGCTTGACAAGGACTTTTTGATGTAAACTGTTGAACTGCTTGAACTTTAAGTTGTACTTGTGGATTTTCAGAATTCCACAGAATTCCTGTTTCGCTGACAGCTTGCAAGCGCTTTCATTCCTTGTCACAACCTGGCACAGTGATGCCGCCGCAAATGCTATTTCGCCTAGCGCAATTCATCGTTCAGTGGCAGCACTGACCGTACAGTACACTAGTGTGACCCTGTTGGTGTAACTTTAAATCAAGAAGCGCGTTTTGTGTAACTTGTGAGAGGAATAGTCAGTGTGGCCAGCGCTCATCATTTTCACTTGGACAGCGACAATCCGCCAGTTGCGCTTGGGCCTTCTATGGGGTGGACAGCGGCCCATCATTTTCACTTGGACGGATAACGCTTGCCCAAAAGAAGGGTTTGCAGCATCAAGTCAACAAGGCAATCGGAGTGAACTTACAGCGTAATTTTCAATGCAATAAACACAGAAACAGGAGCCTGGAATCCGGCTCATACTTCAACTCAAAGCTATAGTAGAAACTGCAACAGGAGTTTGGAATCCGGCTCATACTTCAACTCAAAGCTTTGGCGTATAGTAGAGACAGAAACAGGAGCCTGGAATCCGGCTCATACTTCAACTCAAAGCTATAGTAGAAACTGTAACAGGAGTCTGGAATCCGGCTCATACTTCAACTCAAAGCTTTGGTATATAGTAGAGACAGAAACAGGAGCCTGGAATCCGGCTCATACTTCAACTCAAAGCTATAGTAGAAACTGTAACAGGAGTCTGGAGTCCGGCTCATGCTTCCACTCAAAGCTATAGTATGGCAGAGACAGAAACAGGAGCCTGGAATCCGGCTCATGCTTCAACTCAAAGCTATAGTAGAAACTGCAACAGGAGTCTGGAACCCGGCTCATACTTCAACTCAAAGAACGCTCGGATGCCAGCCCTGTGGCTGATGGTTGGAGGTTCAGAGGACCAAGCCTCTGTCTGGATGTGTGGGTTTGCAAGTTGTAGCGAATCATAGAGGTGCTTTCCATTTTTTGCTGGCGTACACTTTTTCCCAGAGAAGCGCTTTACACTTCTAAAAAGTTGCGTGTCTTTTCTTTTGGCAACGCCTCAAAGAAGCCGAGCAGATAGATTGATAGATCAGTCGCCAGAGACAGTTTCAAAGCTCGGGAACCGCCAGCTTCCTCACGGATCATGGACTTTGATGATGAGCTTGCGCAGCAACGACGTTTTCCACGCAAGTCTCGCGTGAGCAAGGCAGTCATAAAGAGTTGGAGGAAGCGGTGTCGGCAGCCAGCAAAGGCGTCAAAGACTCCACAAACGCAAGTGACTCAAGCGGCTGATGCCTTCAAGTGTTCAGGTGAGCCGGATGGGCTCACTGTTGGATCGGCGTGCACAGGGTGGTGCACAGAGAGCCAAGCCTTGACATGCTTGGGAGTGCCTCATCAGATCAAGTTTGTTTGTGACAACGACAAGCACGTCAAGAAGTTCCTCCAGGGCAATGTGCTCTTCGACCGCTACCACAGCGATGTCTTCTCTACTGAGTTTCAACAAGAAACATACACAGACATATTTGTTGCAGGGCCGCCGT